CATATTTAAAATGAGAAAGTTTGAATTGATACAAAAAATTACATTGTTTTTAAAATTGTGTGTATGCCAAATTACATTTAATGTAATATATTATTATGAGATCTAAACAAAACATTAAATACTGTATGAATCACAAGGAACATTTCTAAGAACTGATTTGTTCTCTGGCTCTCATGTAAGCAAAATGTTGATTTGAGAAATGGATGAAAGCACCTACCATTATTGTAAGGAACTACAGAATTTGGTCCAATGTTGACTGTACATTGTCCACATAGTCTGCAGCTTTGTCCACATAGAATCATTAGTATGTCAGGTCTTTAATTAATCATTGCATTCATTTCAATGATGTGGAATTTACAGACATTGAGTGCTTTCAGTTTACAAATGACCGACTAAGAGTTTGTCTAATAATTGTTTTTACGTACAACTGAGTCACAAGATTATGCATAAAAACCTGACATATGTGTGTTACTAGTGTAATCTATATAAATAAAAATGTAAATGTTTATTCAAAATCTTAAATCTCCAAAATCTTTTAACTGATTGCTTTGAAATTTTGACACAGCATTGCATTTGAATACGTGTGTGTTTTTATATTATACAGATGTCGAACCCCCCTCAGGGGAGAGGGACAAAATTAAGGATTACCATGAAGAACTGGTCGTCTATTATTCTATTTTAGATGCAGTTTTTTGCATTTTTGATTGCATTTTAATAGGGTACGTCAAGAGAATGTACACTAAGAAGGGATTTTTCAAAATTCCCTCCTGCGGGGAGTGTTATACATTTATAATAGATACATTTTGAGCCACAGCAATGTGTGGCAGAGTACAGCTAGTATAATAATAAAATGAATTACATGTAAAAACAAGGTTTAGATTACTATATGAAGAAATAGAAAGGAAAACAGGAGGAGCCAAACTTGCATATGGATGTAATATCACAGTTTATCAACTTCTACACAACAGTAAGGACAACACTATGTTATCTAAAGCACCAGGTGTATATCAAGTTCCAATTAACATGTTGACTGTTGCAATGCATTATTATTTTTTAATCCCTGTAGGCCAATATTTTCCAACAAAGGGCAACAGGAAAAAAATGACTTAGGTGTTCAGAAACTTATATACAGTGGTACCTCAGGATACGAAATTAATCCGTTCCGAAACTGAGATCGTATCATGAAAATGTCGTAAGGTGGATCATCTTTTCCCATACGATTACATGTAAAACCAAATAATTCGTTCCAACGCGAAAAACATACTCAAATTAAAGCCAAGTAATACATTTAAAAAAATAACTGTAGTAAGAAAAACAAATGAAAAATGCGAACTAATGTAACGTCGTATGGTGAGTTTTTGTTCGTATCGTGGAGCAAAAATATGTTTGAATTTCATGTCGTATCCTGAAAATTTCGTATGCTGGGGCGTTTGTAACCTGAGGTACCACTGTATATAGTTTTTCTTATTACGAAAGATTTTAATATTTACTGGGTATGAGGTAGAAGTTTACCTAGGTAGTCACAGTGGCACACTTCCAGAATCTCGACAACATGTGTGTTTTGAAAGTTAATCTAGGTATCACTGTCTTTAGTTTACAAGTTTTCTAATGTCATTTCAGTACTAGAATAATTTCCTAACATTTTATAACTATGTTAAGAGTAATTTAAATTTTTAGGTTCAAAAAGTTATGTATTGTTGTGTGAATCATTTTTTTCGAAGTTTATAATTCATAATTTCAAAGTTTATTGTTGTAATGGCTGACCTTGGAAAACATCAACAATCTTTTTGGCAAAAGTGTGCTTCAAGGGATTTTTTTTTTTTTCATTTTATAGTTTATAGAATTTAATTGTGACAAGAGGTATGTTAGCTATAATGTTTGGTATGCAAACTGCACAAAATGTAAAGGTCATCATAAATTAAAATTATTGAAGGGATCGGGATTCTGTTTCTTTTAGATGTCACAAATACAAGATAAACAGTTCGTCATTTGAAGTAATTTTTCGACTTAAATTTGGGAAAATATCTTGGAACTATTGGGTTGTTCGGAAAGTAATTTCATATTTTTACCACTAGACGGATTAGTTGTATTTTTCCCACTATTTTCATTCTAAACCGTATTATCATTATATATTTTGACAGCTAGCATTTTAAGGCTTATTTGTAAAAAATTTTGTTTGATTTTGTGCAATTGTTTATTTTCTGTGTCCCATCAAATACGGAAGATCGGAAGCAGCATTTTCAGCACATTTTGCTCTTTTATTATCGAAAAGGTAAGAATGCTGTTCAAGCGAGAAAAAAATTGTGTGACGTATACGGAGAAGATGTATTGACAGAACGACAGTACCAAAACTGGTTTACAAAATTTCATTCTTGCAATTTCAATATTGAATATGTACCACGTTCTGGATGGCCAGTTGAAGCCAACGAAAACAAAATAAAGGTACCGATTGAAGCAAACTGCCAAATAACAACACGTGAAATCATTAAGAGATTAAATTTGTCAAGTTGAACCATTTATGATTACTTGAAACAAATTGGTATTGTTTCAAAGCTCGATATATGGGTTCCACATGTTCTTAAAGAGAGATTCTCTCTTTGGTGGGATTTTAAGAAAAATTTTTTTTTTGGAGCTTTTACCAGACAATTTAACAATTGAAAGTGTACTGCCATCGAGTAAACAAATTGAGTAATATCATCAAACAGAAAAGGTTGCCAGAATTGATCAACAAAACAGGTGTAGTGTTTTACCACGATAATGTCAAAATTTCACACAAGTTTGGTAACTTGTCAGAAACTATTATAACTTAGATGGGACATGCTATCATGACGACCATATTTGCCAGATCAAGCACGCTCGGATTATTACTTGTTCTGGTCTATACAAATTTTTTTTAACTGTAAGACATTTACTTGAAATGACAGTGTCAAAAATCGCTTTGATCAGTTTTTTGTAAGCAACGATCAAAACTTTTATGAATGTGAAATCATGCTACTACCATGAACGATGACAACAGGTATTTGAACCAAAATGGTTGATATATAATTCAATAAAATATTTATTTACTAGTAGCTCGGGATGCCCTTTAGTGGGAGTTCTTTACAAATTCCCATGAGGCACGGTTCCTTTGACTTTTTTGTTTTTATCAATATGCTCTACAGCTCTGTTAAAGTCCCAATCGCATCATACAGATCTATATTTCTATCTATTAAATATTCTGTAAAACTTTAAAATAGTTTAATTTGTTTATTTATCTTTGGTTGTAAACCTCGATTTTAAATGTATCTTCCATTTTTTGAACAAATTTCCTGTGAGTCAATCCATGATGTTCACTGACTTGTGAGTCACGGGATGTTGTAAATGTGCGGTGCAAGGTTAATCAAGGCATATAATAAGGCAAGGCAAGGCATATAATAATTATTTATACCATTCTGTGGTATAAATAATAAATTCATATCAATAATAAATTCCTATTACAACTAAAAATAATTTATTGTTAATTTAAAATTATCGTAAGGGCACCTCTACTGCCCGTTTTTGGCATACCGTTACACGGACGGACACGCATTCAATGGGTTATATAGATAGATTATAAAAATATTGTGTTTTTTCCACCAAAAAAAAGCAAAATTACTTTCTGAACAACCCAATACTTTTTTGTTTATTTGGCATCTAATTTGCATAGAATGCATTTTGAGTGTCATCTGTTTGGCTGTGTGCATGAGTAGTTGAACAGCTGTTGAATGGACGAATTTCATATGACACATCTAATTTTACTGGAATGAAAATTAGATGGACCTGGAAAGGTTGTTGAAATCGACAAGATTGTGGTTAGCAAAATGAAAAAATCTAGGAGAAAGGTTCAATCTGTTTGTTTAGCATATGAGTAAGTTTTATCTAGGAGCAAGACGTTTTAGTTTGGAAAGAGCCAGATATTGTACCTTAAGTTTTGTAATAATAGTAATGTACACTTCACACCTACACTTTTACTGTATAACGTAATTGCACTTATGTGTTGTGGCATTATCAACAGTGAATTTGAAGTATAAATGAGTTTACAAGCACTTTTGATAGCATAAAACTATCATTATCAGGTGAATGTTGAATATGGTTTTAAAATTCTGAGCTTTCGAACAACTTTGAAATTATACAAAGCACGTGCTGGAATACCAATATGAATTTGAAAAAGAATAAGAATTTACAAATTTTAAAAAATTTTTGAACAGCGATATGAGTGACGTAATATTCCCAAATATGCGTAGAGAGCATTAATGATGTTCTAGATATGTAGATTAGATTGCTTGAATAAAGTTGTCCATATTTGTGAGATTTCAAGAGTTGTTGTGTTGCACGGTGTTAAAGCCGATATGTAGAGGTTCTCCCAAATAAATAATTCTTCTCGGTTGTTGCACCATTTGAGTAACTTTGTTTGGGCCCAGAGAGGCTGATAATGTTCATCAAACACTTTTTTGCCAATTCCGTTGACGGTCTAGTGTTTCTGATATTCTCCTGATGTTCTAGGATGCGAGAAATTAACATTCTGGCCATGGCCCCTATGTAGCTGGTCTCTTCTGACAGATCATGCTTTAGTGGAATTTGATAGACTCCAGATTTTTCATTCAATTTAAAAAGTAAGTGCCAAATAAATCTGAAAATTGTAAGAGGAAGAATGTTGGCATATGTGTTAAGAATGTAGAAAAAGTTTCTATGGTCGAAAAGGACAAAGTTATGATAGAATAAACCAAACCATGTTTTTTACCGAATGAATCAAAGAAAAGGAAATAGAAATACCTGAAAGGTTATTTCTTTAAATGCCAGTGTAGTAAGTAGCTTGCTGGTTGCCCATCTTGTTTGTGGACATAGCATTCACCAACAAGATGGCGACCGGAAGTGATGCCATTGGGACTACCTAGTATGATTCCACCTGGTATGATTTATGAAAGTTTAGAAACTTTTTATAATCATCTTTTTAATCGTATTTTTTATATAATAATTTTTAGGTTTCATTTCTATGTAATGTTGAAATGGAATGCAAAGATGAACTATTGAAAAAATCATTAAATTCTTTACTTGGAGGATTGCCTTCGTACTCTCATAACAATAATCAAAGTAGTAATACTCCGTATTCGGGAACGCCAAATGCAACTCCTATGGATACTCCTCCCAATACACCATCTTCTAGAAGAAGCATTTTGGGAAAAGGTAAATACTTTATTTAAATAATAATAATAATAATAATAATATTAGAAATTATTCAATTTAGAACCATTAGGAAAAAAATGCTAAATTCAGGAAGCAAAACGAATTTTTGTTAATGTTACTTTAGGTTCCAAGATGGTGGCACATCCGGTAATCTCGAATCGGAGCGTTAATTGGTATTCTCGATAGATGGCGGTATCTGATAAAAAGTGTGATGAAATACGAAAATCTGTTGAACATGACATAAAATTTGATCTGCATGAATATGCAAAATATTTGATATGATGTAGTAGCTAGATGTTTCGCATGTAATTATGCAAATTAACTGATAGGGAGTTGTTTGTTACAGTCTGTTGTTGGATGTTTAGTGTACAATGTATGTGTTGTTTCTACAATATTTTACTATAAAATTGAATATTTGGTAAATATAATTTATGTAAACAATAGGCTTTATATTTTATTTTAAAATATAGTCGTAATTTTTCCTTTTTTTTAATTTTGTTGCTAATTATGTCGTGAAGAGTTTCGTAGACATAAATTCTGATGAAATTTGGTAAGTTCTACCTCCCGTTAATTCAACCTGTAACAGGAATCTTATTTTTTTTAATTTTGTTTATAACATGAAGTTGATAATGGTTTTAAAATTTGTTTGTAGAATTTCGCCGGATGATAATATATTTTAATCACAAAAGACACAGTCTGTCCAAAAATTGTTTTTTGAAACCACCATTTATTCTGATTATGTGTTCCAGAAATTCATCAAGCGAAATTCTACAAACAAAACTTTTTTAGAAGTAATTCATCACCAGAGGGAAAAGGCAAAAATTTACATTTAACAGAGCATTTATCAAGTGAATATAAAGGACTGAAATTCTCTAACTGGAAAAGATGCAAGTTCAAGACGTCTGTAAGGCCGCCAGTTCCAATTTTTTACTTTTAATGTTTTAATTGGATATTTATGTGTTTTTTTTTAAAAGAATGTTTTAGCCTGATGACCTAGTAGCCTACAAAGAAAGGTCGGGTTGTCGATGGTATTCTGGAACACATAATCAGAATAAATGGTGGTTTCAAAAAATAATTTTTGGACGGACTGTGTCTTTTGTGATTAAAAAAAGGTTTTAAAATTGCTGTAAAATTAGGTAGATAACATATTGAATCAGTGTGTTTCCTATGTGTGAATACCTATTAATTACACTAACAAAATAATTGAAAAACATGTTTTTTACATAGTAGCTATTGTAAAAGTATGTATTCTGCTAACAGTTAACCTTTTAGATAAGTTTTGTCAATATATCTTGGGGATGTGTTTTGTCGTTCATTTGGCACTATCTATGTCTGGAATGTACCACAACAAATTTGGATTTTGCAACTGTTAAATCAAGGTAGGCTAGCAGTGATTGCTCAAATCAAGTACGATTAGTGATGCTTACAGCATCGATGAACATGACATTCTTTAAAGAAGAAGACAGAGAAGAAAAAGGAAGAGACAGCAACCAATTTGAATACAAAGACAAATAAAATAATGTCTACAAGTGTAGAAGAATCGATAAGCAAGGGGATGAAAAGGAATTCAAGAAGTGAATATGATTGTATCAAGTTAGGAAAGTAATGTTGGATTTAGAAAAAAAGGATATGTTAATGTGAGTAATAATTTGTTTAATTTACTAGTGTGTTTATTATAGTTTGGGAGTCACCTGATCTCTGATCAAAATATTGTTTTCCATGCAGTCTCGTGACTAATTTAGAATGGCAACCAGATGCGCTGCCATCTTGGAACCTAAGGAAACATTAACCAAAACTTTTATTCAGTAACGTTTTCATTCTCTTAAAATAAATAGAAAGTATTTCTCAGCTGAATACAAGTGCTTTAGAACAAATATTTTCATGATAGATTAGAGTACTATAAGAAGATACTTTATTCAAGAATCTAGTTTTATTGACTCTGCTTATTATTTTAACAAAGGAATTTCTTAATATATTTTTTTGTATCTTTTAAAATTTTTTACTTATTTAATTAAATTCAAAATTATTATTTAATTATTAATTCACAGTTTAATTAATTTAAACTTAATTTATGTTTTGCCTATACAAAACAGAACTAAAAAATTGTGTTTTAAGTTTCATATATTCGTTTTTAAAGCTGACTTTATGGTGGCCAGTAGTGATCTGTGTTTTAGGTAAGACATGGAGGGTTCTATGAAAAAAGTACTTAAAGAAAGCTCACAAATAATGTATGCAGAAAAACTCTATTGTCATATGAAAACTGCATGTGGAAAATTGCCTGTGCTTAAAAATGCCCTTATTGAGAAATACCCAGGCAGAAAAATATGCATGTATTGAAATTTTTACATCAAGTTGAAGAATTATACCAAGGCTAAAAGCAATTTCTTTGTATTAATATTAAGTTTAAATAGAATAGTACAGTAGACGTGCTAATCTGGCCATTCTTTGCAATGAAGATTGCCAGATTAGAAGTGTTAGATTATTGAGTGTATAAGCCTAAAACCTGTATAAAGCAATGATTGATGAACTGTCACCTATCAATACCAGTTCTTTGGTATCAATGTGCTTGATACCGTCTTGTGGCATGCAGACATGTGATATGATCCACCAACATGCAATACTGTATTTGATGATGAAATCCAAATAAATGCAGGATTTAAGCTGAGAAAAAATTTTCTATATCATTTTAACCAACTTTACTAAAAAAAAAAGTAGCAAAATTTTAGAAACTAGCTAACATTTCTCACATGTGAGGCTGCTCAAAAAAATACACCATATGGGGTGACTGATTAATGAACAGTTCAGACTGTGAACAAATTGGATAATGAACACTTTCATGTAAGATTTTTATGTTCAGACAACAAACACTTCACAGAACAAACACAAAAAGAGATGTAAAATAGTGAATATGATTGGTTTTCCCTTGTCTCTACATGAGAATTTGAAATTTTTCGGAGCTCTGAAGACTTTGACATCAACTCTCAATCTGATACTGGTCTGATAGTATTCATCTAAATTTTGAAACTCTCCTTTGTAATTTCAGCCTTTTGTTTACCTTTCTGCCAAATAATTTTTTATAGTCTTCGCGAGACTGTCAGGTGGGTACTCAAGTTTTGCGTCTGTTTTTATTTACGAAAGGCGAGAGTAAAACTATCCCATTTGATATTAGTTAATGTTTTAATACCAAATTTTGAATTCCATTCGGGCCTTGCATTTACATAATTTTTTTATACACTAGTTGATCTCTGTTTTCTGAATATTTTATAAGTGGACTTTTTAGTTAAAAAAGAAACTTGTATTATGGAGCCTAAAAAGAGTGAATTTCAAGAACTGTGCTCACCATAGAAACCAAGCAAGAGATAATAGCCAAGGTAGAGAGTGGGCAGAAGTTGCCTGATATTGCTAGGCAGTATGGCTTGAACAGGTCTACAGTAGGCACACTCTTAGCTAAGAAAGATATATCAAGAAGACTCAAGCAGCTAAAAGAGTAATGAAATGACTTTAGTAATGAAAATCATATGTGAGAAATAGAGCATTGAAGAGCTCATAATGGAACCTGAAACTGATCTGACGACAGAACTCCTAGAACTCTTAAATGAAGAACACTAAGGAACTCAGTGAGATATGTTCTCTTTTGAAAAAGAGGAAGACAAAAGAGGACCAATGTGAACATTGCTATTAAAGATCTTTTCAAGAAGTGGGAAGATGTCAGAACAATGGTCATCCAAGTAGCGTCCAAACCAGAATGAGGTTAATAGGCTTGGGGATCTCTACAATGACAATACTATTGATTACTTCCGAAAAATTCTGAGAAGAGAGAAAAAGCAATTGACATTGGACATATTCTTTAACTCCCACAAACAGAAAAAACATGACAAATAAAAATGCAAGACTGTGTATATATGTATTTTTATTACTACATATAAATAAACGTAGCAAGAAAGTATATATATTTTTATTTTTTGGTATCTCCAGAATGGATTAATCAAATTCCCATAAAAACTTATGGTAAATCAATAATCGGTTAACAAACAATTTGGGTAGCGAACAAAGTCTTGGGAACGGATTATGTTCATTAACTGATCACCCACTGTATATTATTGTTTAAACATTTGTTTATTTACATAGATACTGTACATTATTACAGTGTACTGCATAGTTAATGAAAGGTGAATCTATTCTTACAACCATCAACCATTATTGAACAATTATTTTTGGTTTTGATTTACATCAAGCAACAAATGCTTAACGAAAATCAAATTTGTCCTGGAGGGTCATTTGTGGAGATTTTTAACAAGTTGCTGACATTTTTTACATGAAGACTTTCAAATCGGAATTATTGTTAATTTCATTTCATTGAAATCTCTTTTTCGCTCAACAGTGTGCACTGGGAGTGAAAGAAGAAATTCAATAACTATTGCTACATGAGGGTAATCATTTACAACTCAAATGAAAGGTTATGGAACTGTTAACTTTTATCACGTGCATTCAAAGGGACAACGTAAGAAGACACCTATGTATTGCCTACTTTACTGAATTTTTTTAGATTTTGTAAATTTTGAAAATTTATTTGTTCTGGTAATTTTTATCAAAGGAAGTTTTTGTTTTGTTTTTTGTTAAATTTAAATTTTATTTTCATTTTAAGAACATTTTATTTAATTAACCAAATAAGTAATTAAGGTGTAGTTTCCAAAAGAATCTTTGTTTATTTTGATTTATATTGTACACTCATTTAATACAGTTTCGGAACTACAGTGAGTCATAAGTGATATTATATATAGAAAACTTTTTTGTGAAATAAACTTCTTGTACATACTGTGAAGTTACTGAATTCGGGATAATCGAATGTCAGGATTGATCGAATGTGGGGTGAGTGGATGTGAGGCACACACCTGCAGTCACAAATAAAACCATTTATTAATTTTAAGTCTTCCATCTGATAGAGTGACTTGTCAACAATTGGTGCTGGTCTGTTGGAGAGTCGATGGCCCTGGGACAGTCGGCCAAAGAGATGTTTCAAGCAGTTGTCTGTCGAGAAGTCTGGTGTGGAACAGTGAAGATAGGGATGAAAATCCATATGCATAGAATACTGAAGACAAGTCTGGAAGGTGACGTGATCAAAGAAGCAATCAGTGGAAGTGACATTTATGGTTCATGCAGTGAGACAGAAAAAGTCTTGTTTTGATCTTGAGATTGGGAGTTTTTAAAGAATTCTTCCTCGACTTCTTACTTTCCAATTGATCAGTTTCTTGTTTCCAGGTAGATAACAGATCATTTTGGGCCACAAAGTTTCAAATTCGACACTGTTTCCATTCGATCAAGAGAAGTTAATCGAACTTTGAAACTCCTGCTCGTATTTACTTATTGTTTACAACTGAATTCTTGTATGTCTGAGACATAATCTCCATGCTAGATTACTTTTTTAAAGTTTATTTTTCTCTCGAGTAAAAAATTTTATTTTTTTCCATTTTTGTTTTTACATTTTTTCTTCAATGTTTGAGTGCCAGAATCAAAGCCTGATCCCTGATTTGACACTTTTATTACATTTTTAATATGTGAGCTTGTGTATTGCTTGGGCTTCACAATATCTAATTTTAATTACACAAAAGTGTCTACATTAGTAAAAACAGATAAACTAATTTGTCAATTTTTTTTAACATACATTTGGAAAACTTACTTTATTATACAATTGAATTTTAACTTTGGTCATCCCTTTGCCCAGTTTAGTCTGTTCAATTGAGGTTTTACTGTATTTTTCAGATTTGAAAAGTTTAATTGAGGTACACTCACTCAGCATTTGTAATTTAAAATTTAATGAAAAGCAAACGTTTTCAGCCAAATCTGTTGACCATCATCAGGCTGAGATATTCAAATATAAACAAAATAGAACAAAAATTTAAATACAAACAAAATAAAATAATGAATGAAATTTATATATATATAAATTTCATTCATTATTTTATACATCTATATATACATCTATCTATATATATATATATATATGGACGTGTTTGTGCCTATATGTCACTCNTATATATAGATGTATAAAGAAAAATAAAATAAAAATTATTATTATAAATAACAAAATATGTATATGAAAAAATAAGCATAGGTTAATTAAATATCAAAACGTTATATAGAAATTCAATGAAATGCAAGTCATGCATAAAAATACTAAAATCAAGGCATTAAATTAAGAGCTGTCTAATCGTTTGATTAAATATTTTCCAGGTCGAAGGCAACACTTCAGAATCTCTAGAATTAATGCATGCGTCATGCAATCTGCTCTTATATATTTCAATTTTTTTGGCACAAATTGCCAATGTCTGTGAATGTACTGGTTTAATAGTACTTGCTTTGTCCCATTTGATGACTGAGCCCTCAACTTGCGCCAATTGCAATAGTATTGTGGCATTAGATCCCTTGCTGATATTGTATTTGTGTTATTTTAATCTGACTCCTAAACTTCTGTTAGTGACACCAATATAATTTTTATTAATGTCTAGTTCACGATTTTCATATGGAATCCTCTATACTCCTGCTCTTTTGTCTTTATCTATGCTGTCTTTGTCATTCCTTAATAATTTGTACAGGTTAGGAGCTCGCTTGAAAATTAACTTGGACTTTTTGTGGGCTGAGATTTCCTTCATGATGGCTTTTCTCTTTCTATCGTAAGTGAACTTTGTGATTTTGCCAAAATCGCCATTTTGAGCCTTAGTTTTGTTTATTTTGTAATTTCTGATCAATGTTGTTATCATATCTGCTCTGTACCCTAGAGATCTGGCAATATGTAATATTCTATTAATCTCTTTTTGCCTATCCGCCACACTACTGCAATAGAGAGAGGCCCTTTGGACAAGGGCACAGAAGGCAGCCATTTTGTATTGGTAAAGATCATATCATAGAGTGGGATGGAATGTACAGAGGGCTATGCGTCGATTTTACGTACACATTAGTGGCTAAATGTCCTCCTTTAAATTCAATTTCAACATCTAAAAAATGTATCCATGAGGCACTTGCATTTAGCCTTGACAACTTTTAATGTTATCTTCCTATACTTCCTGTAATATGGCGGCACCGATGGATTATATTTAATCAAACGATTAGACAGCTCTTAATTTAATGCCTTGATTTTAGTATTTTTATGCATGACTTGCATTTCATTGAATTTCTATATAACGTTTTGATATTTAATTAACCTATGTTTATTTTTTCATATACATATTTTGTTATTTATAATAATAATTTTTATTTTATTTTTCTTTATACATCTATATACAGTGAAAACTGCTTAGGCGACCACCTGCATTCGACGGGCACCTGTCAAAACGGGCAAAAATTTCTGGCACAGAATAGTTTATCCATAGAGTCTTCGTATAAGTTACCTGTATTAAACGACCACCTGTGTAACGCAAGCGCAGGCATTGACTTTTGGTCTGAAACAACATACAACACCTGTAATAAGCGACCACTTTCGTGAATGTATCTGGTCTAAACTATTGTTCGAATTCATCTCAACAACGTTTCCCCTCCTAATATAATGAATTAATCTAAACTCTTGTTCGAACTCATCCCAGGCACTTCTCCCACCCTCGAAATTAGGTGCAGGTGTTAATAAATTAGTCTACAAACAAAGGTATAAAATATTGTACACGATACAATTAATCGGTTATCTCATCGTTTGATAAAATTTATTTTTACTTATTTATTTATTTTGAAGCTCATATACAGTACATGTGCGATAAATAGTTTCTGTATCAACCTACCTTATTTCTACAATATTTTTAGAAAAATAATATCCAAGTAATTTTCGCAGGCAAAATATTCAGAAAACAATAAACGCATTAATGCAAAAATCAGTTTTACGGGCAACCTTCCTTTTTCGATACCTCAATGACAATCGCGGAATGTAATGAAATCGTATAATGAGACATAATAATAAAATCGTTTTATTATTAATTAATAATTTTTCTTATTGTACCTAAGAAAATATTAAATAACTAGCATGTAGGCCCGGCGTTGCTCGGGCAAAAAGTAACGATAGCAAAGATTAAGATTATTACGTTATAGTCAACCTTACCCGTTTTCACAGAATGCAAGAATTGGGTCCCCCGTTTCCAGACTAATTGGAGAATTTTTAGATGGGTCTAAAAATATCTTCGATTTCCTGCAAAAACGAAAAAAACTGCACTTTCTCTTAACACTTTCATTGTTGACACGTCCATTGTTGACACTCCCATTGTTACTCAACACTTCTATTATTGATGGAAGTGTTAAGCTTAATCCTGTCCCTCTCCCCCGGGGGGAATTTCGAAAAATCCCTTCTTAGTGTGCATTTTCGTGACGTACGTTGTGTACCAAATTTCAGCTTTCAACTCCTAACCGTTTGGGCTCTGCGCTTATTATTATTATCAACTCGTCTCGATTATATATATAGATAAAAAATACAGTATTTTTGAAGTTAAAATTAGATTAAAGTAACGAATACCAAAACCAAAGTGATGTAGAGATACGACGCACTTGTATATCAATGGCGTCACGAAACTGAAGAGCGAACGAAAAGAACCGAGTCAAATTAATTAAGTCGGAAAAAAGAAAGTGTGCATTACAATCAAGAAAATATGACTATTGTATTAATCTTTAAAATATTGGTATTAAATCTGTCTTATAAAATCACGATGACTCTCGTAAATCGAGTTATCCGATAAGAATAAAATACAATACCAATATAGCCCTATCGTTGAAAAAATTTGCTTATTTTTGCTCATCTCGAGTTTTGCTTAGTAGAAATGGCTAAAAAGTGCGCAAAATACATATGGAAATACGTTATTACCAGACCACCTGTATTGGACGACCACCTGTCTAAAAGACCACTTTTTGAAGGAACTGTGGGTGGTCGCCATAAACAGGTTTTACTGTATATATATAAATTTCATTCATTATTTTATTTTGTTTGTATTTAAATTTTTGTTCTATTTTGTTTATATTTGAATATCTCAGCCTGATGATGGTCACCAGATTTGGCTGAAAACGTTTGCTTTTCATTAAATTTTTCTCAGCAAATTAAGGTGTTGTGTTTTTGATTTGAAAAGTTTATTTACATTTTTATTTTTTTTAATTGTTTTTTTAATAAATTTGTAAAAGATTAAATTAAATTTATGTAATTACTATCTTTTATATATTAGTAGGACGAATAACTTCAAAAACATCATTGCCATTGTTTACCGAAAGTCATCATGATGACTGCAACCTAAATGAAACTACTGACTCTCCAGTAAACATTACCACTCAAGTTGAAGAAGTTTTGGTTATTCCTTTAGCAAATCAAGATTTTGAATGTCCAGGAATGTTAAGTGAAGAAAAAGTATTTATTTTTGAAATTGTTTAAATATAAAATTGCAAATAATTTTTTAATATTAGAATGAACTTTAGGTGATAAGCTTAGAACAACAAAAAAAACACAGTAAAGTTCGAATGAATCTCGACAGTCTTGTGGGTGATAATGTCAGTACTACCGAAATCGTTGAAAAGAAAACAAGATTTTCACTTTCTCAAGATCAAGAGTCTTTAGGTATTTTTAAAAATAATTTAATAATGCTTTTCATTAGGTATTAATAAAAATTACAACTAACCTCCAAAAAACCAATAACGGTGTGTTTTCTCAAAAAATGCACCGTTATTGGTTTTTCGGAGGTTAGTTGTTATATATCGCGGTGTGCTGTTGATGTTTTATTAATAAAAATTTTTAAATAAAGAGAATGATATTGATAGCTAATACAGGGGTCACACTACACAGTGCCAAAATTGCCACTTGGGATATTTTTATTAAATGATGATAAAAATGTAATACTGGCAATAACAAGTGGCAATAAATTCTTAGTTTACTTATTTTGACATTCAGTGTGAAATTGAATCACAAAGCAGACTTCTGGAAAAACAGCAGACTATCTAGCTCTTATGCACAGGTTGCCGACCTTATGGGATAAAAGTATCTTATCTGATTCTTGAAATTATTATTTTACACTTAAAGTTATCATACATCCATCTCGATTTGTTACTTTTAAACCCTGTATCTATAGAAAAATTAACTAGGTTTCCCTTATGTTAGAATCTCTTAAACTTTTTATCTGCAACCATTTCTTACAACAAAAACTTTTAGACTCCATTTATAATGAACTTTTTATGACTCCTCCTTATAATATATGGTGCAAAACAAACCTCTGTATGGACATAATCTAAATTCTACATTTATTCATACAATTTCTACAAAGCAAATATTGACAAATATGTAGCACGTTCTTATAAACTGTGCTTATTTCATATGCATAAACCTTAGTTTTTTCAAATTTTTGTGACCACCTAGAATTTTTAGTCCATCCCTCAAATGGTCGCAGTTTAAGAAATACTATCCTATGTCAAAAAAGTTTTTGACAGGTTTTGACAGCTCACTAGCTGGGAACTACTCTTTAATAAAATGCATTAACTAATGTAGTACCTATAGTTTATACAAGTAGAAGCATAATGGCATTTCAACAGAACTTTTATTTGTACAAATTTTCTTTGCACATCAATTTGAACATTTTATCAGTTGGTCTAAAAGTACAGTATAGCAAATAAAATAACTTACTGGAATATAAATGTCTTAAAATAATCAAACACCTTAGTATTTTCAGCAACGAAGTATTTAATAAAAAATATAACAACGTTTTCGAGTCTTCTTCAGTTAAGCCACTTTAAAACAAAAACAAACGTAAAATAGAATGCAAGCAATACAACGATTTAAAAATTTGAAATTAATTACAACAAAATAAAAATAAAATAAAACGTAAAAACAAAATTAAATTACAATAAAATATTAAGAAAAATAATCGTCGTGGTAAAAAGATTTCCATGCGAAGGATAGACTTTCTCCATCTCCATGGTTGAGGCATCCTTTGTCAATATGGGCCTTGTAAATTTCAAGTTTTTCAATATGTTTAAGTACTTGTTTGTTGGTGGCAGTCTTAATTATGGATGCTTTGTTCCAATGTACATAAATTAATATCTTGATGTTTAGCGAAGGCTGCAAGGACGGTACTGTCCAAGTGTTTAGTAATGGAATACTTTTGCTCTTTAAGCCTCTGTTTTAAAAGTCTCATAGTGGCACCAACATAAACGAGATCTGAATTAAAATGGTGGTCACTTAAAGGAATAGAATACACTCCTGCACTATTGTTACGGTTTCCTATCTTCTTATCATTTCATAGAATTCTATAGATCGTAGGATTGTGATGATAAATAATTCTTAAATTATTCTTGTGAGATAATTTTTTAATCATCGATTGCAGGAAAGGTATATAGTTGAGAACTGCTCTTCGTCCTTGGTTCTTAGTTGTAGGTTGCTTATTTGTTTGATTACAAAATTTAGCAATAAGTGCATTAATTTCACTTATACAATATTCCTGTTGTACAGCTATTGTACGTATGTAATTTAATTCTCTATGTGTGTCAAACATATGCGTACAGTGGGTATAGGCCCACTTTATTTGTGATTGAAAGGCTGCATTCTTAAAATTCCGAGGATCAAAGGGAAGAATTTACAAAAGAGAAGCCTCTTTTGTAAATTTTTTGTAAATTTTATATTTTTTGTAATGGTCAACATTACAAGAGAGATAAAACTCTTTTGTAATGTTAACCATTACAGTACATTAAAAAAATATGATGTACTGTATTTTTTTAATGTGGCAGTCTTTGAAACATATCAACTGTACAAAAAGAGGGATAGATGTACTTAATGTTCACAGTAAGTAAAATACTTTTTTATTATGTCAATATTCCACACCGTAAGAAATGTGAGGGTAAGGGAATTTGGACAAAGTTGGTCAGGGAATTCAAAACAAAAATTTGAGTAGGAACCCTGTACAAGCCATTTCTGAAATGGGTCACTAGTCATCCAAGCCATTCTGTTGGATTCATACTGAACAGGTTGTAAAGTACTATATTATTTTTCCGACTTTCCAACGATTATCGACACTACTGTGTGCCGGAAATAGCCGTTCCCTAACAGATACTTTACGCGGATTCGCGTTAGTGTGCCAGGCCTGGACTTTAAGCGTGCACCGAATTAAATAATGACAAAGTTTGTCAATAACAAAATCAAATATTTAATTAAACTTCTAGTAATAAACTATATACAGTATTTAGTAAAAATCAAACAATAATTTATTCAATGAAATTCAACAAGAATCAATCCGACAAACTCAAATCAATCTATTTCTAACTTAATTCTATTCCCCTTTGGAATTCGACAAAATCAAAGAATTAACTTATAAACAATAATTCTTATAAATTAAAGATCCTAATCGTCACCTCAATATACTAGGAACCTATTTCCTCAAACTCTCAAGACTTTCTATAACCGTCGATCCACAAATCGAATAACTTCAAAATCCTATCGGACACCTCTCTCGTTCACTGCTACGAAGCTCACCAAAGCTCGTTGCTATCAGGAATTCACCTCGTTCGTTTTCACTTGAGTTAGAGGCTTTATAGTGTGAGGTGACGTCACAATTCTGAATGAGCTCACTCTCCTCATTTACATACTTATCTGTAACATTAAATTTTTCTTGTTTATCTGGCAGATTATTTTCCGACAATACTTCGCTAACCTTTTACATTATTCTTTTTAACAATTATCGGGATGCTTTATTCTTTTAAGGTTTAGCGATTCCTAACTGGGTTGTGGGGTCTTCCCCCCCCTTTTTCTCGGTGCGGACTTACTTTTTTCCGCTTGGGAAGCGCAAGTGTGCGCGAGTTTTTCTACGGCGCTTTTCTTTCGTCGGTGAGTTGGTTTTTCTTCTATTTTTAAGTTACTAAGGTGAATGGTGAGGAAACCTTCGTCTTAACTAAACATAAGTCCCAAACAAAATATAATGAAAGCAAAATAAAAGTAAAATAAAAATAAAGCTCAGACTTGGTTCCTTACACGGTAAACTTTTCACTGATTTAAAACTTCTTGGTTTTGTAGATTTTCCAATCATCAATATCAGGTTTTTCAATTCATTAGCCTTTTCTTTACCTACCAGTGCACTTCAAATCACACAAATCTTTCTAAATATTAAGTTATTTCTAGCTTTAAAACCACCATACTAACCTGAGCTTACTTTAAAATCTCTAATTCCTATTTTTTTTAATTATGTAACGGGAAGGACCGTCCTAACTGCAGCAGATGCCCCAGAGTATAGTGTCCCTTTAAGGGATAATAGATGCGATAGGGACCTGATATACATAGGCTCTACTAAATGGTTCATGGGCATCAGAATTCAAGAACATCAGGCAGATATTTGTCACGGGAGAACCTCCATGGCCCTCGCTACTTATGTCACAGATCCAGATATAGTTGTTGACTTTACTCAGGCGAATCTTCTCCTTGCTGCACCTGCCAATTAACACCTCAAATGGTTAGAGGCTATGCACATCTTTAAATTCTCCATCACATCCACATGCATAAATTTTAAAGAGAAAATGGTCTTGTCATTGGCCTGGCAAGAGTTGATTCACAGCACACCCTAGTTGCTTGTAGTATTCAGACAGGCTGACTCATTGTGCATGTGCGACATATTTTTTTGTAAATCGTTTTCGAACTTACGATCGAATGTTATTTAAACGGCATTAGTTAATTGAATATCCATCCAGGAATGGTTAAGAACCTGATGCAGAGCCCAGAAGGGGTTCGAAAACATTTGGTTTTTTTCAATATTTTTTGATGTTTTGTTATCACATTGTAAATTAGTTCCATGTACACAGTTTTTTAAGTAATTTCACTGTGGTGAGTGGTTAGTTAAACTAAAATTTGGGTGTAAAGGAATTTCACCTGTTGACACTTGATCTGGATGCTGTTTATACAGATAAGATGCCATCAGCAATGGATTTGTAAGATAGCAGAAATTCTTATATTAGAAATAGTCTTTAATAATAACATTTCGCGAATTATGCAACTATTGTTGTTCTTAGCTACCTGAGAAAGTCTCCCGTTACATTTTCTTGAAAGGAACATGACGCTTTCTCGTGAACTATTAACCTCTGCATGGCCGAAATCGTCCGTGAATATCATCAGAGATGGCCAAAAAGAGTTAGTCGCTGTCTTAGTCCTCGGAGAGGAAAGAAGTCGTCCTCCCTTCAATCATCATCCATCTAATTGTCACCGAATTAATTGTCGCCCATAGGATAAAATTTTGTGTGTGTGTGTGTGTTAGTGCACGATCGCCTGGATAACTAAAAATACCCATCAGAACTGGATACATCCTGAAAAAACCCATAAGAAGATCTTGTTCTCCAATTCAACAAGACCCGACTGGGATCCATTACCAAAGGTATTTATCACCCTGCGAATTGTATGTGAACTCTCTCTCTCCGCGACAACACTTTATCCAATAGATTTTTAAATAAACCCTTGTTAATTGTTAAGTGTATCTGAGTCACTTCCAATGTTGTCTCTCGAATCGACATTACGAATCCGTCAGATCACGTACGGGACCGCTTGCTCGACGGCGTGATGTAATCGTCATCTCAATTTTCGTGTTTCGAGAAACACGATGGTGTCAATCCTAACAGGGCACCAAGGAAGTGCTGACTGAAAGGTCACAGATTCATAAGTGGATGGAGGCTTTTAAACTCAAGTTAAACCTACTCTTGTCTGCTCTTTTTACTCTAGTTTTAGTTCAGAGGAACTAGCCGTATGTTTTTGTGGGCCAAGATGCTTCAGCATTCCATCCTGGCACAGTGCACTTCAGTGTTTACTTCTTGATTAGGCTTTTCTCTTAATGTCGCCATGTTAGCATTGTATTTGTATCAAGCCTGCAACTGTTGATTGCTGACAATATGCACTCTGCACTAACTTATTTCACAACAGGATAAATTTTCGGCATTCAGACAACAATAATGGACTTTTTATGCAACATCAAAAACTTTCCATTTTGCTTTTAAATCTGCACCAGCTTTACACGGCTTTTTATACCAATACATGATACAATTACTGGAAACACTGCCACAGTAGACTTTGTTAGTCAACAAAAAGTGCACTTGTATTTACACAAGTTCATATGGGTGATGCAATCTTTACAATTTCTTGCAGGTTTGCAGAAAAATGATATTATTACTATTAAAATTATTTGGATATGTTTCAAATATTTTACATATTTCCAATTTTAAAACAACATTTTCAAAATGGAACTTTCAAAAGCATTCTGTTCTACTAGCTCTTAGTTCGATATCATCAATACCTGAGGATGTCTATTACATGTAGATGAAAATGTTCGTAGAAAGAATTTTTCTGTTTGGTTATGAACTGATGATGGTTTATTTGGTGAGTGTTATATAATTAAGAAAAATGATATTTTAATTTAAAGAGTAAACATTCTTACAGAATTATTTTAGGTGATGTTTGTGTGACTGCTACCTTAATTCTTAAAATCTGATAAATTTTATTTGAAAGGCTTTAATACAAATTAGACTTAAGCATAATTTAAAATATATGAAAATTACAGTAAATATTGAAAGACAGAAATTTAATCATAATATTAAGGGAAGTATTTAATAAATAGATTACATTTTTAAAAATTAATCTTATTTATTGGTAATTTTATGTTTTAATATGATTATAAGTTAAACTTATTTGAAAGCTTTTAAATAAACTTATTTAAGTACTTATGATTTGATGATAAAGATTATTATTATTTTAGGAACAAGTGATAATTTAGAAGCTGTATCAGAAGCTGCATCAAATCATTCTGTTGCTTCTTCACTTGATTTAGAAAATGAAAATGAAAATGATAATTTATCGGATATGGTGTCGGCAAATGTCAGGTAATAATAAACAATTACAATAAGTACTAATACTTTGTTTTGTAATGATGGGAAAGTTTGTAATTGGTGTACTGATGATAATTTGTCAAATAATATGAAATTAAATATAAATGTACTTAAAATGAATATATTTTAAATAATAATAATCTGAATAATCATTTTTCCCAAGAATGATTGTTTTTATTTTTACTTGATTTTCAAACTTATGAAAAATATTTTTTAAGACTTTTTTTAATCTTCTGTTAAAGTTTTAGTACAGCTTATCAGATTTTTTTAAACTGAAGTTTGAAATTCTAAATTTAAAATAAATGAATAAAATGATAATGATAAAGAATAAGGTAAGATAAATGAAAATCAAATTTTTTTTATTACAGTACAGTACTGTTTTTACTCTTAAAATCTGTTAACCTTAATTGACTTCAGAGAGTATTGATTTTAGAAATTACAAAGTTTTATGTAATGACAATGGTTGGCAATCTTCTGTAGACTTGCTATCAAGCTGTCTCATTTATCAACACCAGTGCTAGGTTTTATTTATTATAGGATTATGAATGGAAAAAATACGACAATGAATCGTGATCTTCTAATGTGTTACCATACTTAAGCATATTGAAGCATTTTCTGCATAAAAAAAGCAGAATAGTCACTGTTAGAAATGTATCCAGGAGCATTTTTCTTTTAACTTTTGTGACAGTTTAGTGAGCTAGGGATTTAGTGCAGTTAAATAGAAAAAACTATGTAAAACTAAGCAAAATAAGTAACTTTTTAAAAATAAAAAACTGTGATAAATAAACTTTGTGAGAGTAGTACACTTTTTGTAATATTTATTATTTTATAATCTATGTTTTACTTTGAATTCAAGGTACTGTACAGTAGAGCAATGATTATCCAAATTAATTCGGGACTGGGGTTGTTTGGAAAATAGATTTTTCGGATAACCGATTATGTACGAAAAAATATATTAACCTATCCCATGTTGAAATTTGTTCAAATCCTGGCACGTCCTTATGTGTCCTCTCATGGTCGTGCCAGTGCTGCCAGCTAAAACATGCACATCAACAAAAATAATATTGGAGTAGCCCAAGTCATAGCCAAAGATTGCAGTGTCACAGCACTAGCGGAAATTTAAATCTGCTGACTGGAAAGCTTTCGGTTAATTGATGATTTGGTCAATAGACATTTGGATAATTGATGCTATGCTTTACTGTATTTTTATTAGTATGCTGTACAGTACATTACAATGGAAACTAATACTTGTTTTTAATAAGTTAGATTTTTTTCCTTTTCTTATTTATTATTTTCCATATGTATTAAATTTCTTTGCCTTAACTTTTTTTATAATTGTACTACAATTACAGTTAATAATTTTACTTATATAATAAGGTTAATATTTAAAGTATTTACTTTATTCTTTCCGTACCGAATCCAAAAAAGTCCATAATCTAAGATTGTTCCAGTTTAATGATTTTGTATAATTGATGCTCTGCTGTAAATGATGGTGTGCATTGTTGTTAACTTTACTTCTTGTTATTTGCTTCTTTTGTATATATGTAGAATGCTTATAAAATTTTGAGTTACTAGACTGATTTTAAAATCAATAATATTATTTTGTAGTTTTTAATCACCAGGCCAATATTTTTTGTTTTTATACTTTTGGTTTTTATTAACTTGGAATCAATTTTGAAAGCTGGAATCAATGACAATGAAAAAAAAAATCATTCATATTTACTCTAGAATGAGATTTTAATTGAAATATATATGTTTTTGGCCATTTTTAGAAGCTTTCATCAGGTAATATAGCTGTTGTATAAATTGAATTTGTTTCAAAACCTTCAAAATGGAGTGTTTTGTATATTACATGACTCAGGTTAAAAAATTATGAATGATTAATACAACAGTAGAAGCAATTGAAACATATAAAGATTGAAACTATACTAAATATAGTTTCAATCTTTATATACAATGGGAGTATAAATAATGCAGGTTAAAATGAATGTGTTATAGACTTATAAAATAAAGAAATATAATATATATAACTATATAACTATGCTTGTGGTAGAGGAATGCTATCATTATTAATGCACTCTTCCTTGAGAGTAGTCTTATAAATTTTTTAGCTTTGATGGTTAAAGTTTATTATGGTCTCTACCACAAGTGTGATAATACGTATTATATTCCTGTATTTCATGAGTATGTAATGCATTCATTTTAATCTGTTACTTACGCACCCATGTTTTGAAATGTGTTTGATTTATGCAATGGCTATATTACATGATGAAGGCTTCTGAATAGGGATGAAAAAATTTTGTATTTATATTAAAAAACTTGTGCTTGAGTAAGTGTGAATGGTATATTCTGCTTTTGTTTTTAATATTTTTTCTACTTTACCATTGCTAATTCAGTTGTTAACAATCTGGCCTCTCAATTATTCACCATATTTCAATGTCATTGCCTATACACTTATGTCTCCACAAAAATATTAGTTTTCACGCATCCTGTTTTCCTGTTCACTCAGGTTTCATTTCTGTGTACAGTAATGTAGATTGTTATGAATAAAGAATAAACTTACAATTATTATATCACTGTATATAATTTCACAATAGAAAACAGTACATACAACTCTAAAAGAATCAGTACCAAAAACTCACAGATCACGTTGTTCATTGTTTTTAGGCCTATATATTCTTTTTAATCTGGCTCACTTGCTAATCTGATACTTCTTCATGCAAGAAATGGTTAAGATTAAGTTTTTTTGTATGATTTACTAAAGGCAATGCCGGCCAAATGATACAGAAAAGCCGTTCTATTTCTAATCAGGGTAAGAGAGAAGCTGATGTTCTTAATTAACTGTCGCAACAATGGAACCTTCCCTATGTCAATCTTCTGAATAAAGCTTTTGTATGGCTGTGAATCTCTTTTGCCTAAAGTAAGATTTTTGTGCCTTAGGAAGGCTATTCGATATACCAAGCACCTGATGTACAGCAACCTGAATCGACTCATCAATCTTCAGGAGGACTTATTTATGCAGGATTTTACTATCCTGAAGCAGGTGAACTCTAGAGTCATCGAACTAGAAGCAAGTGTCAAACGTAACTTGCAGCATAAATATGAAAAAAGCTCACTTGGATAAGCAAAATACAGAAACCGCATCCTAAACCTAAGTTCAACAACATTATAACATATTTTAATTTTTGAAGTTAGACTATTTACAAAAACATATTAATATTTTCAAGTCTATCATTAAATCTTTTTCACACAACCACAGAAGACACAGTTATATTGGTTAGAAGATAAAACTTTTTTAAAAGACAAATAATAAAAGGTAAAAATTCACAATGTTTAAAAATGATCAAATGCCAGCCTTTTATTGTAGGATCTGACTTTTTTACATTAAAAACTTAAGAATCTTCTCACCAACCATCAAGTCCTTTGCCAAATTTTATAACTGGTTCATCCGACTAGTGGTAGTTACGAGTAAATCATTTTCATTTGCAAATGAAAATGATTTAAATCCTATAATAAAAGGCTAAAGTTTGATCATTTTTAAACATTGTGAATTTTTACCTTTTATTATTTGTCTTTTAAAAAAGTTTTATCTTATAACTAATATAACTGTGTCTTCTGTGGTTGTGTGAAAAGGATTTAATGATAGACTCGAAAATATTAATATGTTTTTGTAAATAGTCTAACTTCAAAAATTAAAATATTGAAGAATATCCTGAGTTAACATTGTAACATTATAACACGTTGGGTCAACATCTCTCCTCCAGAATACTTCCACAAGACATTTGAATTTGGTCCTATGTTCGTACCTCAATCAGCTACACTGAATCCATTTTTGTTCATTCTGAATGTGGAAAAATACTGTCTAGAGGAAATAAGGAGCAGCCAGACACCCACAAGGACTATCTTCGATGGAAGGCGCTGATGGCAATTGAAAGTTACAAGCCTGAACCCAATGTACATAAGTTCTGGAATTATGTCAAATGCAGTAGGAAATGGCTCCAGTCCAACAACATCACAATGGTCAAATCTGATAAGAGCAAGGCTATAGTCATCATGCTAAGGGCAACCTATGCCAATATTTTGCACCAATATATAACTGACACTCAGTTTCAACACGCTGAGACCTCCTACACAATGAAGCTTCAGTCATGTCGGTAGATTCACACGCACTGACCTTGCCACAGTCTTAGTAGGCCTTCAACATTCAATAGTTAGCTCCCCTGATATCCCCCACCTATTTGCATTTGCCAAAACGCACAAACCTGGGCAACAATTAAGACCCATGATCGATAAAGCCAGATCCTCCTTGTTCTTGTTGGAGAAATGTATTCATTTACATTTCCCAGTGCTTGTTTTTAGTAGATAAAAGCAATATCACTCCAAACGAAGGTATGATGGATGCAAGAAAGACGTCTGAATGTCACCAGTTCCTTTTTTAGAAATTATTTGTAATTTTAATTGGATATATTTTTTGTGTTTTTTAAAAGGACTTTTTAAACTTCTGGCAACAAGTAGTCTACAAGGAAAGGTCTGTTGCCAAGAATGTGTATTGTCTGGAACACAGAAATAATAAATAGTGGTCCCTTTTGGGCAGACTGTCTTCAATTTTATTTAAAAATAATCTCCATCGCACGAAAATTTACAGGTATCCATCATTTGTTACAACACCATCTTGATGCATACAGCTTTACTGTCTCTTATTCCAATGAACTAGTCGCCAAACTCCAGAATATAAATTTAAATGGGAACAAATACTTTACTGTATTCGATTTTGTATCGATGTTGCCTTCCATTCTTTTGGAACAATGGTTTTGTGCACTAAGAGATTTCTTTCTCTCTACTACACCTGATGTCCAGAGATTTTCATTCCCAAATATTAGAACTTACGCATCTAATATGCTATTCTTTCTTTTTTTACTTTGATGTCAAACTTACATCCAAAAAAGGGGCGTATCAATGGGTAGCTCTATCTCGAGGGATTTGTGCGAACTTGT